TGTGAGGTATCACTAGATTCGGAATGTTCTTGAAGAAAGGGAAGTGCAACTTGAAAAAATTCACACTGATAAGAATGGGTCAAACATGATGACCAAGGCCTTATCGAAAGAAAAGTTTGAATATTGTAGAAGCATTGCAGGTTTGGGCATGGTGCAGCCCTCCTCATAAGTCGTGAGGGGGAGATTGTTGGGGTTCCCTCCTTATGAGGTGGGACCCACTAATAAAGACAAGAGAAAAGAAAAGGAGAAAAGACAAAAAAGAAGGTATTGAAAAGTCAATGGACTTTTTGCATTAGCTTGCAATGCAAGCCAACACGTCATTGGCTAACCAACGAATTGGAGAGACCTCTCTTCACTCTCTACTCTCTCAACTCCAAAAATAGCTCTCTAGGAAATATCAGAGAACAGAACAAGGGTTTAGAGAAGAAGGTTTTTTGGAAGAAGAAGAAGAGTTACAAGGGTTGAAACGAAGAAGAAGACAAATCCATTTTCAGCATCTCCTCTTGTTTCCATTGTTGTGGTTCCACCTTTGGTGAGAAATTTCTTGTTTGTTGTCCAGTTTAATGATGATTTTTGTTATTGGTATCCAAGAGTTTTCTTGAGATTCATCATCTAGTTGTAAATAGACAAGAAAACATTATACCCCATTATTATTGCTGATAGTGGATGTTTTGGACTTCTGTCCTATGGTTTTTACCCTCGCATTGAGGGGTTTTCCACATAAAAATTTGGTGTCTACTGTTGCTTGCTCTGTTTTTTTGTTATTTGTATTATTATTGTTGCATGCTTAATATTTGAGAGAGAAAATCTCTATGATTTTTTACAAGGAAAATTTATTGGGATTATTCCCCACAGTACGATGTCATATTATTCTAAAAAATTGGAATCAGAAGAAAATCGGGAAATCACCGAAAGTGGTGATTCCTCGATCAAGTCCAATTTCAAGGATCAATTTTCTATTGATTTCCTAGAAATATGTATAATCGGCCAACCAAATAGAAGAAAAACCATTGATTTCTAACATGGTGTTTGGAAGCGTAGGCACTTTTTGGGACCAATTTTCAAGAAAAAATGCCTATGATTCCAAGACCCATTTTTCACAAAAAAAAAAAAACGCTTCTACCACGTAGGTATTGAGCAACACTATGTTGTTTGGTAAGGTGAATTTCATCACCATTTTTCACGTATGTGCTGACAAGTAAACACCACATAGGATACACATCAATCAACCATTGGGGGAAATGGTTCACCGATGAATGAAATGCCAAATCGGTGGGGTCCCAATTTTCGAGGCATGCCCGATTTTTTAATAATCGGTTGAACCAAATAATGAGATAAATGGGCGTTTGTTGAAACGCCTTTGTGGATCTGACGTGACACCATTTTTTTGAAAAACGGCCACGATTCCAAACAACTCCTAAATTGTTGATGTGGATCCGGTACCGATTATTGAGAAATCAATATTAACTGATTCCTCTACCTTTTTCTGAAGAATTTGATCTTTCCAAATAGAATTTTTCACATGTAAGACAGCTTTCCTTTGAGAGGCTTCATTTGAGAACAAGTGACACGTGGCTAGTTTTGGAGAAATAGAAAAAACTTTGGCTGTTAGGGGCCATCAGCATCTGTTGTTAAAAACATTATTGGGAATGTCACGCTACATAGAGTGAGGTAAAACAGTAATTGCTCCCTATTTCTTTTTAACCATAATTATAGATATGGGCATGAATTGATGAATGTGTCCAACCTAAAAACGCTCTCAACAGCATAAACTATTACTATTAGGACAAACAACCAAAATTAACTCACATAACAGTGTACACGGTGTATGCGTTAATGTAACCCAAGATTGGACTCTCAGTATTGTGGTTAAACGAGGATTCTTGGGTCTTGCTCCAAATTTAGGAAGCAAGTAAGATGGAAACACAAGCTTAGTTGAAGGGCTACCCTATGCTCTCCTATCTCTCTATACAAACAACCCAAACTCCTCTCAAGAAATTCCATCTCCAATCAGAGACGGTGAGAGTGAGGTGAGGAGTAGGGATGCAAACCGATTGGATCATTTTCAAATCAGGGTATATTCAAATCCGATCTGACATTGTTCATGTTAGATCCGATCTGATCGAATCTTATAGGACTCGATTTGAATTCAAATCCTATCGATAAGTCAGATCTTCGGATCTTTTCCAATCTGATTTGTTTTCTTTAAAATTTAATAAATTATTAAAAAAATAAAATATACTAATTTATATAAAGTAAAACCAAAAAATACAAGCATTTCTTAATTATTTTCTCATATATATATATACATATTTTTATAAAAATAAATAAATAATATAACAAATTTATAAAAATATAATACAAAAATATATAATTATAAATAAATAAATAAATAGCATATATATTATATATTTATATTTATAAATATATAATATGTTTCGGAATGAATAGAAGGGTGATCCGAATTTAACCAAATAGAATCGGATCTCAGATAGGATCGGGTTGATCCATTTGCACCCCTAAGTGAGGAGAGATCGGTTTCTTTCATTGGAGGTTGAAACCGATCTCTCTCTCTCTCTCTCATCTCTTTCAAAGGCGCACACCCTCCCCCTATCGAGTCGAACTTTTAACGAGCCAAGCTCGAATAGCTCATGAAAGGCTCGACTCGTGGCCACCCCTAGCTTTTGGAGATGGAGAAGGTGCGGAGCTGGATGGTGCTGACGGAGTCATGGATCCTTGGACTTTAAGAGAGAGAAGAAAACTATACACATGTTTAATGTTTAACTGTCACAATCACAGTTGGGTAGTTCTGGTGACAAATTTACTTTGTTGACGATTTATTACCCTTATCGGTGAAATGATTTTAATCGGTGTTGTTTTGGTCATTTTAAATTTTTTCAGTTTAATAATTTAAAAATTATATGGGCATTTCAGTAATTTTATTTTATACAGAAACATGACTTAACGGAAATGGACCCAAGTGTCTATTTTTGAGAGTTTAGGATACTCAAGTGTTGCAATTGAAAGTTCAAATACCTTTCTATCACTCCCCCAAAAGTATAGGGTACCTATCTATAATTCACCCTTTCTTTGTTGATTTAATGGGTAATTATATAGAATTAAAAAATTAAAGTAAAATAAAATAAAAACAGAAAATTAGGAACGGGGTTTAAAGCAAGGAAAGGCATGGTGACATGGACAACCTTGCTTTATATATAGAGAAAATAGATATGACCAGATATAGAATTAGGATTCCATTTTTTGGAAGAACTAATTAAAGATTTAAGTTCATTGCTTAGAAATGTTCTATTTTTTCAGTTTTTTTTTTTCTTTTCTGATACAAACGTGAGAAGGTTTTCTTGGGAAGCAAGACATGAAATTGTGTTGATAGAAGAAACACACTTATTAGTAAGCAATCTGGAGGCTAATCAATTAGAGCAGATACCATGTCATTTTTGTTAGAAAGCTTTGGATCACTACTACTACTCACCATCTTGGTGTGGAAAAAGTAGTTTCGGAGGTGGTTCAAGAAATTAATAAATGCTTATATATTGGATCTGCCGATTACATATGGGTGGTACCCATTGCTTTGCTGAATCCCTACTAAAATGATGCAATCTCTCCATTGACCATGTCTTCTTTAGAAGATGGCTGGGTTGAGTAAAAGGGAAAGAAAGTAAACAAACTTTTTGTCCAGCCAAGCAGCAGCCAACTCAAATCCCCCAAATCTTAGCTGTTTCTCCCCCTTCTTTCCTTTACTCCCCTCCAAACCGAATCAGACTGCAGCTGGCCCACCTTGGTGAAGGTTGAGCTCATCAGGTGAATAGAAGTTTGGCCCATTAACAAATTATAGGTTTAGGTATTGCATGCACAATCTACTTTTATGTGGTACATTTTCTTTCTTAAAGAATTTTTGTTGATTATATTTATTAACCCACGTCAGTTGTAAGGTCACATCAGGATGCTTTTGGTCACAATTATATTATATCAATTTTATCTGTCCAGGGTCAGTACTGATATTGCTTGTCATCGGTGTGCAGAGTGTCCAGCGTCACAAATTAGTTGACAATCTTGGGCTTGTTGAGTATGACTTGCGAGAAGATATAAGCACAAACTTTGAGTGCTGATCAAGTATAAATATGTAGCATCACTGTTCAGCAGTGGTAGTTATAATAGCACAATCGAAATCCCTCTGGATTTCAATAGTAGCAAAGTTATCAGCTGTATTTTTTCATTTCTTTGTTGTAATATGCACTGGAGCATGGCATTGCCAGTAGCGTGGATTAATACTCTTCAGAATTGAAACCTTTACAACATCAAACTAAGGGTCCATCTGGGTCACAGCCAGAACTACTGGAGTCGAAATCGAAATCGAAGTCCCTCTGGAATAGGTATTGAAATGATGTATTCTCATAGTTTATTTGGTTCATACAGAAATCTGCAGAATGGGAATTAGAATCAACTGGATCAGATGGGATTTCATTCTCAAGTGAGGAGGAAGAGGACTGCCATTCCACCATGAATGAAACTGGGATTTCGATTCCGCTTAACCAAACAGTTGAAATCAGAATGGCCCATTCTGATTCCGATTCCAGACCCCTATGCCTATGAACCAAACAGGCTTTAATTGCTTACATTTTTAGATCGGGAAGCCTTTTGATCTCATCAGGTTTTTAAAATTAAGTGTTTTTGTTGCCCTCCATATCCCATATGCTGCATTGTTACACAATGTCTTTGCATTCATAGATGAATGGTAATTGGTGGTTAAACTGTAATTGTATATTGTGAGACCATTACCAAGACTAACTCAATGAAAGCACACATCAAGCAATACATAGATCAAAAATCAACAATGACATGAGAATCATATATTATACAAATCCTCATGGCTAACGCTGCATGCAGGATATACTGGGTCTTCTATTCTCTTCTTCTCCCTTGATATGACTAGATGATTAATATTTTGTTTTATTCTTCTCTGTAGAGGGACCCTTTTTCAATTTTTTTTTTGTGGGTAAGCTAGAAAGTAGGCCTCAAAATTCATGGTGTTGTAGTGGAGAAAGTTTACAAACTCAACAAAGGTCTCAAAACCATAAATCCGCACAACTTAAATATGTACCTCTGCTCAGTAAATGAAAGAATCTTATGGAAAAGGATTTCAACAAAAAACAAATAAATAAATAAAGCAATCTAGCCCATAATTGCCAGGGGAGCAAGAACAGCTATGCCAATCCTCACCCACCCAAGTAGTCCTCCGTGCTCAAAGGTTCCGATACCTCCATTCTGCAATTAAAATAAAATGAATCGGCAGTCATTCACAAGCCTTTGAAAAAAGTCCGATTTGGGTGCAGTTATAACTCAGAAACGAAGAAAAATGTGATGAAATTAATGGTGAATAATGCCCCTCAAAAGATTATGAAAACATTAATGACAGTCACTTAATTAGAATAGGAAAAGAGAAGGCAGGTTAATGATATTAATTACCAGGTTGGAATCAGGTGCCGGTGCCAATGCCGTTTGATCGTCAGGATCCGGAGTGGCAGGTGGTGCTGGGGGACTTGGTACAGTTGGTGCTGGCGCTGGTGCATGATGATGCTTCTTGTGCTTGTGCTTGTGCCTCTTGTGCTTTGTGGGAGCAGGTGCAGGTGAAGGAACCAGTACTGGTGCTGGTGCTGGCGCAGGTGTCTTCTTAACTGGTGCTGGTGCTGGTGGCTGTTTTGTCGGTGAGGGCACCGGTGCCGGTAGTGGTGCTTTCTTAGCTGGAGCTGGCGCTGGTGGCTTTGTTGGTGGAGGTACAGGTGGAGGTGAAGCCGGTGCTGGTGGAGGCGTGACCTGTGGTGGTGGAGGTAGAGCGGGTGCTATAGCTGGAGGTAAAGCTGGGGCTGGTGGTTTTGGAGGAGCAGCGACCGGTGGCGGTGGGGTCTGTGTGGGTGGTGAAACACTTGGGCTTGAAGCCGCCGGTGGTGGTCTAGGAGATGGTGAAGATATAGGAGTAGTTGTGGCTGCAGGCACCGCCGCAGTGACAGGGCTAGAAGGTGCAGTTGCGGGTGCTTGGGCATGAGATATGCCTATCTGAATACAAAGGCAGGCCAAAGTGCAAGCCAACCACCAGGAAGCCATTTCCTCTGCGATGGCAGTTGATGGAAGCAATGGTGTTTATATACAATAAAGGAAGAAAGAATGGTAATTGGAATTAAAAATATTTGGTGAATGAGGGGGAGATGTAATCTTCATGTGAAGTGGACGTCCCTGCTACTCATTTGAAGAATGAGGTTGTTGATGGGAAAAGCTAGCTCTGGTTAAACTAAACGTGCTTCCAAGGGAAAAGTAGGTTAGCTTCCTTTGATCCATGACCCACTAATTAACCTGCTCACTTTCATTACAATCAGTAATGATAATCTTTTTTTAATTTGTAGCATTGATAAAACTTACCATAAGTTAACTAGTACTAGTACTAGGGGCCCGGGCTCCTGTGTTTTCCATTTCCAACTGTCATTAACCCGGAGGGGGTCGGACCGTTCGGCCAAAGAATCATCCAGCCAATCAGTTCAGTTTCACGCTTAGCCTGTTTTTTGATCAAAAACTGTTGATTTTGTCAAGAATCCATTGGCCCGAGTGATCAAGCTGTTGATCCATTCAACCCATACAATGGTTTTTGCTATTTTTTTAAATTAGAATAAATCAACCATTCAAACCAAACAATCGAATGGCTGACTCAAAAACTAATGCCCGAAATGGTTTCGATTCCGGATCGTTTTTTAAAACAATGCCGAGCTCTCCATGTTCTATCTGATTGCATGCCCAAATTCCTAACTAGACTTATTTTGTGTGGCTGCCTTCTGAAAATTGGTAATCGATAGATAGCAAAACAAATCATAGTCCTAATTTTCTTGATGGTCTCTTGCTTAACTTACAAACTAAACCTGAGTGGTTGAAAAATGTACGAGATACAAGATATGAATGAATGCATGGAGAGGAAAAACCTTGACTAACAGAGAAGAAATGTCATTGTCTTACAACTAATACTTACTTTTTGAAAAATGTTTTCCAGCCGTACAATCAATTACCATAATATATATTAGTGATTTTTAAGAAATTAATGGGTTATTTTTCTTTCTTCATTTTATAACGTGCAACCAAATGCTGCCTTTTATGTTTTTAACGAGTAATTAGGTTAATTTACTTAGGTAGTGTTTGGTTTCATGGAAGAATGACGAGATATTGTGTTTCGGTCTACACAACGGCTGATGCCACTTAGCTGTATTTTGGTATTTTTCGGATCAAGCAATAAGGTTTTAGGTTTTAACCTGAGACAAGCAAGTTTCAAACTTCAAAGCCATGGCAACAAAATAGCCTTTTACTGGTATATTAACTCCTAATTCCCCTAACTAACAGCCACATTTAATAACAGATTTTCAAGTTCGGATTTTCCTGCCTATGACAACTTTACCCATGTAACATTGCAGTCATATATGGGAAATATCTCATCCTCTTACATGTTTTCATGCACGGACAGATGTTTCCAAATGTTTCATGAATTACTGTAGGCTGGAGATATTCCAATTTTTCTTAGGAATGTTCATGAATAGCAGCTCTCTTTCTCTCTCTTAATGTAGGACCAAAGCGTAGGTACATTATCTCAATCAATCTCAAAAGTAGGAAACCCCCCAGAAAAAAGAGCTCCATTTCGTGTCTGCCCTCATTAGAATTTTCCTTGACATTGATAGTAATATCGTTTGTAAAATTAAATGTTTTAACTTTGAGTAAATGAACAACCAACAATGCCCGTCTAGCTCAGTTGGTAGAGCGCAAGGCTCTTAACCTTGTGGTCGTGGGTTCGAGCCCCACGGTGGGCGATTTTATTTTAGTTTTTTGATTGATGGTATAATCTTTGAGTTAAGCCTTATTGACATTATACCGTTTTTCCTTAGCTTAGGCTGCGTTTGGAAATGAGATAAATACCGGTTCAGTGCATTATTGCACACGGGTCCATATTTTCATGCGTTTGAAAACAGTGTAGAAACACCTCTAAATTTGCAAGCTTCCTTCTATCCGAAGAGTCCGAACCAGCTATATATTTTACCCTCTCATCCACAACAGCTTATGAGATCTGAAGAGTCGCACCAAAACGGCTATCTACCCTCATCCATAGCAGCTTCTAAGATTTGAGGAGTCCGACCAAAATGGCTTTTTAGGTAGAGATGGTTTCTTCTTTTTTATTCGCATAAGATGGTGGGTTAATTCATCATTTCGGCTACCTTTATTAGATGAAAGGGTAGTTGTAAGGATAAATAAATATTTTTATGACAATTCATATTGTAAGGTTTTAAGTGGTTTAACGAGCTGCAGTTATCAGATATTTTATCAGATTTATCATGTAAAAATTTTAATTTTTTGATTAAGATGTATTGCTTCTATGAAAATAGTTTCTATGTTAATCTGAGACAAGATAATATAAAAATTAATCATGCATTTGATTTCAATATACTTGTATTATCTGCCAACAGAAGCCTGCTCTAGAGACAAGCAAGTTTCAAACTTCAAAGCCATCGGCAACAAAATACCCTTTTACTGGGTATATTAACTCCTAATTCCTAACTAGCAGCCACATTTAATAACATTTTTTTCTCAGGAATGTTCGTGAACATCTGTCTCTCAATGTAGGACCAAAGTGTAGGTAAATTATTTTAATCAATCTCAAAAGTAGGAAACCCCAAAAAAGGAGCCCATTTCGTGTCTGCCCTCATTAAAATTCTTGTTGATGTTGACACTAGTATCGCTTGTTAAATTGTTCGATTAACTATGAGTAAATCATTATACAATGATGCCCGTCTAGCTCAGTCGGTAGAGCGCAAGGCTCTTAACCTTGTGGTCGTGGGTTCGAGCCCCACGGTGGGCGTTATTTTTTTTTATTGTGACCCAACCATATGGGTTGAATTAAGGTTATGTATATTTGGTTTTAGGGTGAGGTTATGGTTTTGATTCTTTTAACCATGTTGGTTTGGGTCATTTGGGTTTTGGCTGATTCGTCTCGGGTCATGATGTTTTGTACATATACAAAGTATTCTTGTAAATTTTTTACTTCTAATTCTAATAATTTTAAAGTTTAAGTTTCTTTTTCTTTTTTTTTCCATAAAATATAATTTAATCTATTAGATCAAGTTCCTATTGACCAAGAATTTCATGTTCTTTTTTCAGATTTATGTGGGGATCAGGGAAGGTTTATTTTTCTAGGTATTAAATATAATTTAATCTATTAGGTGGGATTTCCCACCTAGGGGAAAGTTGCCACCACTTGAATGGAACAAAAATGCCCCTTTTAATAGTGTATCTTTATGGATAAAATGGTCATTGCCTTTTTACATGAGAAATAAAAGAACATGGGTAAATGCACTTATCCAGGTAAGTGTTTTCAAGAAAACTTACCCAAGTAATTGTATTTACCTGAGTAAGTAACTTACCAAAAAACAAACGGGGCCCAAATAACAACTTTTTGAGCTAGTACATTGGTGTTTCTTTTAACATGGGAAAAGGACAATAGACAATGTGAGTCAGCAATAGTCTTTGCATCGTTCAACATATGCCTCCATCTCCATGGTACTGTTGACTTGGAACCTTGCATGTGTGTAATCAACAACAAGCAATCACCTTTGATTTGAATCCACCTCCCATAATATATAATCAACTGTTGTCTCCAAGGTTTTAAATTTCATAACGTATCGGCCGATACGGTCACGCCGATACATACCCGAAATGGGCCAATGCGCATTATGTATCAGCTGAATTTAATTTCCCTCTTTTTTTTAAGTTTAAATTTAATTTATCTCTTATATTTCATTAATATCAATTTTAATTAAGCCTTAAAGTTTGAGACATCACTAAATGCTAATATAATTTAATTAAATGCTCATTTAAGTTACATTTTATTACAACATTTAATATGTCATTAAATGTTATTTAAGTGAAATAACTTGTTAAAAATCACAAACCAAAGGTAACAAGTTTCAAAACCCAACTCATTTGCTTATAACAATAATTACTTAACCGTTATGCCAACCTTAATTACTTATTAAAATGACACATTTTTTTATACTTAAAGCAATCTTTCTTGCCTTGGTGGATGTTTCCCAACAAATGCTATAAATTTGATTATTAATATTTATATAATAATAAGATGAATACAAGTTATATTTATTTATTAAAAATTAAGGTATATATTTACATAATAAATATTATCTAAATCTATATATAATAAATATTAACTAATAAATGATTTCAAAAAATATTAACTAATAAATATTAGTATATATATACACACATTTTAGTTCTTCTATTATTTTTCAATGATTACTAATTATATCCCGATACTTTATATAAATCATTAAAGAATGGTTTTTATGTTTAAATAAATTAGTTATACTCACATAAAACTCATTTTTCTTATTGTTCATATTTTTAATGATGTTTTTTTTTTCTAGTGTACCCATGCATATCTTGATTTTTCGTTCGTATCTATACGTTTCCAAAGCATATATCTCGATATGTTTATTAAAGTTACCTTTTCGATACTTTAAACCTTGATTGTCTCCATTACCAAAAGTAAAGCTCACATTTTCTGTGGTTTTTGCATCCATCACTTCGATAGAACAAGCTCATGCAATGAGAATTTTCCCCTAATTATCAATATGCCAACCTATCACTCCAAACCACACAATTTTAGAAAAAGCACAAGATAAGAACAAATGCTCCAATGCTTCTATATCTCCATTACAAAAGACTAGACATGTTCATGGGTCGGGTTGGGCCGGGGTTTTGCTCTTTATTAACATAAATTTTTTAGGCCCGAGCCCAAAGCCCGACCTGGGAGTCTGAGCGCCAGTGCCCTCTGATGATTGAATGGTGCCTGCTGAGTTCGCCGATTCCTGGGAGTTTGAGAATGAGAATAGAAACTGAGAAAGTGAGAAGATAGAAGATGACAACAGTGCTGGCCAGAGAGAGAGAAAGAGAGAGAGAGAGAGAGAGAGACGATCTAGGTCTGGTGGCGTCAGTTGCCAGTGCTTGAGTTCACAGAATGAAAACGGTGCGCCTGGGTTCTGGTGGCGCCAACTGGAGAGAGAGCTATGAAG